TGGAGCTCTCTGGAATGGTTCAAGACCATCCTGCTCGGATACTGGCTGATACCGGTGCTGGTTTGTCCATAGTCTCAGATCGGTCGCGCGCCTGAAACCTGAGATCAGTAGTAGTATCAGTACTATCACCGATTCTGTCGAATTATGCGACAGTGTTAATGGTATTTCGATTCTTAGTGAAATATGCGACAGAGCCTTCTCTGTCACCTTTCTCGTTAGAATCTGTAGTTGTATTATCATTGTGACAGATTTCGACTAACCACTGTGGACACTCCATCCAGAGGTAGCTTGGCACGATCAGACTATGATACAACTCTAAATGAGCTTGATATTGACACCAATGGTCTGGTGTGAGTATGGATTGTTGATGCCGACACGAGTGTCCAGTGTGTCGACTAACGTTTGAAGTGATCCCCAGGCCGCAGTGGACATCTGCCTTCGGTTCTATGGTTATCCGGACCGCTGGTTGCTACGAACCACCTTCGGATGTCAGGAAACGGTGATACAACACATGCACTTCGATGAGGAGCAATCTGTTGATTACTACTATGCTGACTGTGAACTATCGTTACTTATTGCTTGAAGTAATGCTAGTTGCTTGATGAGTGTAGAGTGGATGAGGATCCACTCGACCATTTGTGACGAGGAGGTAGGACTATATACCTCTTTGCAGCGTCACCAGTGACACTGCTCCTGCTCCCTCTCTCCAGAGGGTACCCTCCTCGTCGAGTACTGCACAGGGATCTCCAAGGAGGCACCTTCTCCATTTCAAGCCTTGTCCCTCCTGTCTTTCCTGAGCTGTGTCGACTTCATCGACACTGCTCCTCCTCTTCATGTCCCTTTTGCTGGTGTCCTATACACAGATCTCCTTCCTTTGACCAGCGACAGTTCTCTCCTACTCCTGTCCTGTGGGCCCCTGAGTGGTAACTGACCATGTGTCGCTGAGCTCGGTCCCTCTCACATGTGAATTGTCGTACAGACATCCTTACTACCGATCTCCACAGAATCTGCCACACAATCTTGCTTGCTGCAGATTCTGGTGGGATTCGTGATATCGACGATGCTCGTGCCGATTTCTCTGTGATCTGCCATAGAGCTGAGTCTACTACCGATCTTGGTGAACTTTGTCACAGCTCCTCCAATCTACCCGATTCCATGATTCCTGTGCTACCTTCATATGAACTTCGGTCTTTCCTCGTTCTGCGCACCTAGGCCCATGACACCAAATACCCACAAAACCCATAAAAACAAGATCGATCCATGGTGTCACTGGACACCAACTCTCCATCAATAGTTCTGTGAGCATGCAGGTATCTATTGGTACACACAATCTGGGTGTGGTCGAAGCTTCAGTGGCCGACACTGCTGACTATGACCTCATCCTGGGGTTCACCAAGCTACAGAGGCTCAAACCCACTATACAATGGGATATGGGCCAGCTGGAGTTCAAGACTCAGGAGCAGGACTGACCCCCAAGGAGACCCCCTGAAACAGCAAGAGCAGGGGACCTAACCATGAGGAGACCAACCTGTCAGGGGTCTCGCGCCTGAAACCCAGGTCGGTCTGTCGAGATACTCAGTGACTACCAAACTGTGCGACAGCTATTGTCTCAGTATCAGTGACTATCAAGTTGTGCAGTGACAGCAGGTGGCGTTCGTTGTATATACTATCGTAGGTTTCGGCTGACCTCTGTGGACACTCCATTCAGGGGTAGCTCGGCACGATCAATATCAATGTGTAGGTTATGATGACACCAAGGTCTGGTGTGAGTGTTGATGATGATGAGGTTGATGGTGTTGGTGATAAGGTTGGTGGCATTGGTGATAAGGTTGGTGGCGTCAACACAAGTGTCCAGTGTGTTGACTGATGCTTGAGGTGATCCCCAGACCACAGTGGACTACTGCCTTCAGTTCTATCTTGATCCGGACTGCTAACCTGCTATGGGCGCCTTCGGATGTCAGGTAGTGGTGATACAACACATGCACTACAATGAGGAGCAATGTTGATAGATTGCTACTGTGCTGACTGAAACTAATGTATACTTATGTTTGAAGTGATAACTAGTTATATGGTGAGTAGAGTGGATGAGGATCCACTCGACCTATGATGATGAGAAAGCATGGTTATATACCTCTACTCAGCATTGCCAGCGATGCTGCTCCTGCTCCCTCTCTCCAGAGAGTACCTTCTTCATCGAGTACTGCTCAGGGGCCTCTCCTGCTTGGCACCCCTGTGCCTCTTGAGCTGTGTCGACTCCTTCGACACTGCTCCTTCTCCTTTGATCAGTGACAGTTCCTTTGGCTCTTGTCTCTCGAGCCCCTGAGTGGTAACCATCTGCATGCTCCTTGAGCTTGGTCCTCTTCATGGCTGTGCCTGCTCCTTGAGCTTGGTCCTCCTTGTGGCTGTGCTTGGCCCTCCTTTGCATGTGAGTCCGTAGGAGTCCATGGTCTCCATGGAGACTGCACTACGACCATGCTCTCTACTGATCTCGACTAGATCTTCGATACCTGTGCTCCTTCCATATGAACCCATGACCCTCCTGCTTCTTGAGCATCCAGGCCCATGACACAACCCTTCATGGAAACGAGTTTGTCTCAGCAGAGCACATACTACAAGCAGCTCTGGAAGATGGACCCAAAGGGTTCATGCTGTTGGAGGAGCCACCATCATCACTCCTGGCCTTTGGTTTTGTACCTACAGGCGCAGACAAAGGAGTAGAGATGGAGGTAGAGGTGGACAAGGTGGTGATGGCTGCAGACATACCAAAGCCATACCAACACCTGTGAGATGTGTTTGATGAAGTGGAAGCAGACAAGCTGCCCCATCATACTGAGCATGATCTCCACCTCAAGTTGATAGAAGGAGGTAAGCCACCTCAAGGGCCCCTGTACCTTAAGGGACCCAAGGAGATGTCCGAGTTGAGGAGGTACTTGGATGAGAACCTCGAGAAGGGGTTCATAAGACCATCAAAGAGCCCGGCACAATCACCAGTGCTCTTCATACCAAAGAAGGATGGAGGTCTCAGACACTGTGTGGACTACCGAGGTCTCAATGAGATCACTGTCAAGAACAGGGCACCACTGCCCCTCATCAAGGAGCAGCTGTTCTTACTCAGGAAGGCAAGGATCTATACCAAGCTAGACCTTAGAGCAGCATACAACCTCATCCAGATTGCTAAAGGAGATGAATGGAAGACAGCTTTTGGCACTCAGTTGGGACTCTATGAGTACCTAGTGATGCCCTTTGGCCTAGCCAATGCTCCAGCTCACTTCCAGTCATTCATCAATGACATCTTCCAAGACATCATTGGGGTATATGTGGTAGTATACCTAGATGACTTCCTGATCTTCAGTGACACTGAAGAAGCACATGTGAAGCATGTCACCGAGGTCCTCACTCGCTTAAGGAGCAACAGGCTCTTTGCTAAGCTGTCAAAGTGTGAGTTTCACACCAAGATAGTCGAGTTCCTGGGATACATCATCAAGCCAACAGGCATAGAGATGGACCCAGAAAAGGTGTGCACTGTCAAGGAGTGGCCAATGCCAGAGTCAATCCATGACATCCAAAGGTTCCTGGGTTTTGCCAACTTCTATCAAAGGTTCATAGCCCACTTTGCCCATATAGCCAAGCCCTTGACATCACTGGTAAAGCCTACAGAACGGTTCAAGAAGTTTGAGCTACCAGAGGAGGCCCAGCAGGCCTTCCACAAGCTCATCCAGGCATTCACCTCAGCAGGAGTGCTTCAGCACTTCGACTACCACCTGTCATGGGCCTGGATGCTCAAGAAGCAGGAGGGTCACTGGTTCATATGGAAGGAGCACAGGTATCGAAGATCTAGTCGAGATCAGTAGAGAGCATGGTCGTAGTGCAGTCTCCATGGAGACCATGGACTCCTATGGACTCACATGCAAAGGAGGACCAAACCCATATGTGAGGAGGGCCAAGCACAGCCACGAGGAGGACCAAGCTCAAGGAGCAGGCACAGCCATGAAGAGGACCAAGCTCAAGGAGCATGCAGATGGTTACCACTCAGGGGCTCGAGAGACAAGAGCCAAAGGAACTGTCACTGATCAAAGGAGAAGGAGCAGTGTCGAAGGAGTCGACACCAGGTCATGAGGAGGAGGAGCAGTGTCGAAGGAGTCGACACAGCTCAAGAGGCACAGGGGTGCCAAGCAGGAGAGGCCCCTGAGCAGTACTCGATGAAGAAGGTACTCTCTGGAGAGAGAGCAGGAGCAGCATCGCTGGCGATGCTGAGAAGAGGTATATAACCATGCTTTCTCATCATCATAGGTCGAGTGGATCCTCATCCACTCTACTCACCATACAACTAGTCAATACTTTAGAAACATAAGTACTCATTAGTTACAGTCAGCATAGCAGCAATCTATCAAGGTTGCTCCTCATTGTAGTGTGTGTGTTGTATCACCACTACCTGACGTCCGAAGGCGCCCATAGCAGGTTAGCGGTCCGGATATAGATAGAACCGAAGGCAGTAGTCCACTGCAGTCCAGGGATCACTTCAAGCATCAAAGTCAACACACTGGGCACTCATGTTGACGCCACCAACCTTATCACCAACACCATCAACCTCATTACCATCAACACTCACCAACCTTATCACCAACGACATCAACCTCATCAACATCAACACTCACACCAGACCTTGGTGTCGTCATAACCGAAGCATTGATATTGATCGTGCCAAGCTACCCCTGAACGGAGTGTCCACAGAGGTCAGCCGAAACCTACGATAGTATATACAACGAACACCACCTGCTGTCACTGTGCAACTTGATAGTCACTGATACTGAGACAATAGCTGTCGCACAATTTGATAGTCACCGAGTATCTCGACAGACCGACCTGGGTTTCAGGCACGAGACCCCTGACACCACCTTCCAACAAGGTTGGAGACTGATGCAAGTGACTTTGCTATAGCAGGAGTACTCAAGCAGGAGCATGAAGGACGATGGCACCCAGTGGCCTTCTACTCTAGGAAGATGTCTTCTGCCAAGAAGAACTATGAGATCCATGACAAGGAGCTCCTAGCTGTGGTCACTTGCCTTACTCAGTGGCAACACATGCTAGCTGGACTACCAAGTCAACTGGTCATCCTCACTGACCATGAAGCCCTCAAGTACTTCAAGTCCCAGAGATGCATCACAGGTCAACAGGCTTGATGGGCAATACTACTAGCAGACTTCGACTTCATACTGCAGTATCAACCAGGAGACAAGGGTGGTGAGCCTGATGCTCTCACCAGAAGGACTGACATGCAACCAGCTGGTGAAGAGCAGGATCACAATGTGAGGCAACTACTGCCTCCTTGAGTGTTCAAGGAGACAGCAGACCATGACTTGATCCTAGTGGCCCCTATGCTCTCAATGGAGTCCATAGCATCAAAGGGTCTCAGAGACCTGGTCAAGATCTTCCAGCCCTTAGACCAAGAGCTACAGGAGATACATACGAAGAAGCCTTTTGAGGTCAAGGATGACCTATGGTACAGTGGAGGAAGGTTGGTTATCCCCAAAGTGATCATGCCAGGGAAGACCAACAACTGACACTCAAGGAGTGCCAAAGAGGTAGATGGACAGTCTCTCTCTGTAGAGCACCTGTGATTCATGGTGATGACCCAATGCCATGATGGTATTACTGCTGGACACATAGGAAGAGATGCTACCATCAAGGCAGCTCAACGACACTACTGGTGGCCAAACATGACAGCTTGGATTGCAGACTATGTAGCAAGTTGTCCTGTGTGTGCTAGGTACAAAGCTCCTCGTCACCATCCATATGGTTTGCTACAGCCACTAGCAACACCAGACAGGCCCTGGGGCTCCATATCCCTCGACTTCATCAAAGGATTACCACCATCAAGGAACTATGACTCCATCCTCATCATTGTTGACAGGCTGACCAAGTTTGCCATACTAGCTCCAACCCATAAGACAGTCACGGCCAAACAGACTGCAGTGTTGCTATACAGACACATGGTTAGACTTTTCGGATACCCAGATCACATGGTCTTGGACCAAGGCAGGCAGTTCATATCAGGAGCATGGAAGGCAATCACAGAACAAATGGGTGTGAAGCACTCACTTAGCATGGCCTACCATCCTCAAACTGATGGTCAGACAGAGAGGGTCAATCAGGTCATAGAGCAGTACCTAAGGATGTACTGCAACTATGAGCAGAATGACTGGGCCAACCTGCTGGACACTGCAGCCTTTGTATACAACAACATGGTCCACAACAGCATTGGTGTCTCACCATTCTTTGCATGCTATGGATGGAACCCTAAGGCTCATCCTGATAGCCCTCAATGGTTGGGAGTCAATGACCCAGGTTGCTTTGAGTACCTCATGGATGGGAAGGAGCATTGCAAGTACCTCCAGGAGCAGATCAGAGAGGCACAATGTAGATCAGTAGACCAGTATAACAGGAAGCACAAGGACATCGAGTTCAAGGTGGGTGATATGGTCTATATCAACTGTCGAAACTGGAAGACAAGGAGACCCACACCCAAGTTAGATACCTGGTTTGCAGGACCCTACCCAGTTCAGGAAAGGGTAGGATGCCAAGCTTATCGAATCACATTACCAGCAAACCTTAGGGTGCATGATGTGTTCCATGTCTCCATGCTCAAACCAGCAAGAACAAGTTCTCTTCCTCAATGAGCTGAACAGCCCACCATACCATCACTTCCAGATGAGGACCTCGACTTTGAAGTTGAAGCACTCATCAACAAGCGTTCACACAATGGGACTACAGAGTACAAAGTGTTGTGGAGAGGGTACTCAGAAGAAGCTGCTTCATGGGAACCAGTAGAGAACCTCAACTGCCCTGACCTCATCCAGGAGTATGAGGTGTCGGAGGGGGGATGAGCGAGTAGACAAAGTAGAGAGAGGAGGAGAGAACAGGAGGAGTAGAGAGAGGAGGAGGAAGGAGAATGACGTTGAGAGAAGGAGGAAGGGTGATGTTGGCGATGTTGTTGAGGAGGAGGAGGAGGAGGAGGAGTCAGCATGAACCAGACCAGAGCATGCCTCAACGGAGCTCGGCTCTTAAGAGGGGGGTAGTGTCATGGGCCTGGATGCTCAAGAAGCAGGAGGGTCACTGGTTCATATGGAAGGAGCACAGGTATCGAAGATCTAGTTGATACCATTAGAGAGCATGGTCGTAGTGCAGTCTCCATGGAGACCATGGACTCCTATGGACTCACATGCAAAGGAGGACCAAACCCATATGTGAGGAGGGCCAGGCACAGCCACGAAGAGGACCAAGCTCAAGGAGCATGCAGATGGTTACCACTCAGGGGCTCGAGAGACAAGAGTCAAAGGAACCATCACTGGTCAAAGGAGAAGGAGCAGTGTATAGGGAACCGGCAAGCAGGTCCTGAGGAGGAGGAGCAGTGTCGAAGGAGTCGACACCACTCAGGAGGCACAAGGGTGCCAAACAAGCAGGAGAGGCCCCCTGAACAGTACTCGATGAAGAAGGTACTCTCTGGAGAGAGAGCAGGAGCAGCATCGCTGGCGATGCTGTGAAGAGGTATATAACCATGCTTTCTCATCATCAAAGGTCAAGTGGATCTTCATCCACTCTACACACACATCATAACTAGTTATCACTTCAGCATAAGTATATATTAGTTTCAGTCAGCATAGTAGTAATCTATCAAGATTGCTCCTCATTGTAGTGTGTGTGTTGTATCACCACTACCTGACATCCAAAGGCAGTTCATAGCAAACCAGCAGTCCAGATTAAGATAGAACCGAAGGCAGTAGTCCACTGTGGTCTGGGGATCACTCCAAGCATCAGTCAACACACTGGACACTCATGTTGATGCCACCAACCTTATCACCAACACCATCAACCTCATTATCATCAACACTCACCAACCTTATCACCAACACCATCAACCTCATCATCATCAACATTCACACCAGACCTTGGTGTCATCATAACCTATGTATTGATATTGATTGTGCTGAGCTACCCCTGAACAGAGTGTCCACAGAGGTCAGCCAAAACCTACAATAGTATATACAATGAATGCCACCTGCTGTCATCGCGCAACTTGATAGTCACTGAGCAACTAGCTCATCGAGACCAATACTGAGACAATAGCTGTTGCACAGTTTGATAGTCACCAAGTATCTTGACAGACCGACCTGGGTTTTAGGCGCGAGACCCCTGACACAACACAGACTCTTCATTCAATCTTCCTGTCTTGTAGCATTACATGTACCATCATCCAGTCTCAAAGCAAAGTCATTTCTGAGTGTTTTTCTGTAGAGTGCAAGTATGAGGTGAATAAAAATGATGTGCAGCACAGTCAAGAAATGATGCACAGCGCAGTCACATAATGAGCTCAAAAGCATTTAAACAAAAAATTTCACTCTCACACCTCTTCTGTTACTACCACCACTCCACTCTGCAACCTTTTGGCATCACTCTTGCTGCCATCCCCCCTCTCCATCCCCCCTCTCCATGCTCCCTCTCCAACCCCCTTCTTCCTTCCAGCCATGGTGTGCTACAGTGACAAGCAAGTAATTCTCAATGACATTGTCCACACTCTCAAGCTCTCTATACCTGTGGAGGTCATCCAAAACACCAACAGAGTGCAGCACTGACATCAATGACTTGGACAATGATGGCGACCCACTTCTGCTCTCACAACACCTTGTCTGCTTGTACACTTTCATATGCAAGCAAAGGTACATGATCACATGTTACACTCCTCTTGGCTGTGCCAATAAGCTTATCCACCTTCTCAACAGGTACAAATCAAGCAATCATAGGATGTATCATGGACTTGTTTGTATGTCCCCTGAAGCATTCAACAATCTTGCCATCTGACTCCAGCAAACAGAGGCTTTCTGGTGGAACTACAGCAGCTCAGGTGTGATGTCTCTCAACAAAGTGCAAGAGATCCTTTCAGTGGCTCTGTACAGACTAGTCCATTCTGGAAATGGAGGTGGTGAATGTGATGCTGCTTTGCAATGCAGCTACAGTGTTGGGAGCATTGTTGGATACACCAATTGCACAGTCACTGGCTTCCTCAAGCTAAACAATGAGGTCATGCAGTTTGCTTCAGAGGGAGAGAGGCAACATGCTTCTGCCTGGGTGTGCAATACAACTGGGGTTGAAGAGTGGGGTAAGGGCTGGCTTGTGGTGGATGGCATGCACATCCCTCTTGCCTGGAAGCCAGGAGTGCTCAGTCAAGAGCACTTCTGCTACAAAGGTTTCCACAGCATCAATGTAGCACTGGTGATCCTGCCACACTCACTGTGGATTGTTGAATCAGTTGTTGGACAGCCTGGCAGCATTCAGGATTTGAAGGTTTGGACCTCAAGCAGCAATATCCTCAAGAAGCCTCACCTGTACCTTGACAAAGGTGAGTTCATCTGGGTTGATGGTGGATATGGCCATTCTCCCTTCACAGTTGGACCATTCTCTCACATTGCCACCAACAAGAGTCAAGACCTTCGACACTTCAACTACATGCTCTCTCAAGTCTGAGTACAAGTTGAACATGCCATTGCATACCTGAAGAACCACTTCCAGTGCCTTACAGGCTATTGTGGTAACATCTACCTTTTTGAGGACCACATCACTGCTGCCAAGACAATCCAAGCCTGCATTGTTGCCCACACCTTCACAAGTCAATATGACTGTCCTGCTGATATTGCTGACCTGCTGTTGCCCTCTTTCTCTGAGGATGAGGTGAATGAGGTTGTTCAAAGCCTCCAACTTGATGCCAGGGATATGTCAGGGGTCTCGCGCCTGAAACCCAGGTCGGTCTGTCAAGGTACTTGGTGACTATCGAACTGTGCGACAGCTATTGTCTCGGTATTGGTCTTGACAAGCTATGCCACTTGGTGACTATCAAGTTGTGCAATGACAGTGGGTGGCATTCATTGTATATACTATTGTAGGTTTTGGCTGACCTCTGTGGACACTTCATTCAGGGGTAGCTCAGCACGATCAATATCAATACATAGGTTATGATGACACCAAGGTCTGGTGTGAATGTTGATGATGATGAGGTTGATGTCATTGGTGATAAGGTTGGTGAGTGTTGATGATGATGAGGTTGATGGGGTTGGTGATAAGGTTGGTGGCATCAACATGAGTGTCCAGTGTGTTGACTGATGCTTGAAGTGATCCCTGGATCACAGTGGACTACTGCCTTCAGTTCTATCTATATCCAGACTGCTGACCTGCTATGGGCCACCTTCGGACATCAGGTAGTGGTGATACAACACATGCACTACAATGAGGAGCAATGTTGATAGATTGCTACTGTGCTGACTGAAACTAATGTATACTTATGTTTGAAGTGATAACTAGTTATGGTGTGTGTAGAGTGGATGAGGATCCACTTGACCTTTGATGATGAGAAAGCATGGTTATATACCTCTTCACAGCATCGCCAGCGACGCTGCTCCTGCTCTCTCTCCAGAGAGTACCTTCTTCATCGAGTACTGTTCAGGAGGCCTCTCCTGCTTGCTTGGCACCCCTGTGCCTCTTGAGCTGTGTTGACTCCTTAGACACTGCTCCTCCTCCTTGCTGTCCTGCTTGCTTGGCACCCCTGTGCCTCCTGAGCTGTGTCGACTCCTTCGACACTGCTCCTCCTCCTTGCTGTCCTGCTTGCTTGGCACCCCTGTGCCTCCTGAGCTGTGTCGACTCCTTCGACACTGCTCCTCCTCCTTGCTGTCCTGCTTGCTTGGCACCCCTGTGCCTCCTGAGCTGTGTCGACTCCTTCAACACTGCTCCTCCTCCTTGCTATCCTGCTTGTTTGGCACCCCTGTGCCTCCTGAGTGGTGTTGACTCCTTTGACACTGCTCCTCCTCCTGAGGACCTGCTTGTCAGTTCCCTATACACTGCTCCTTCTCCTTTGACTGGTGATGGTTCCTTTGGCTCTTGTCTCTCGAGCCCCTGAGTGGTAACCATCTGTATGCTTCTTTGAGCTCGGTCCTCCTTTGAGCTCGGTCCTCCTTGTGGCTGTGCCTGGCCTTCCGCGCATATGGGCCTGGTCCTCCTTTGCATGTGAATCTGTAAGAGTCCATGGTCTCCATGGAGACTGCACTACAACCATGCTCTCTACTGGTATCGACTAGATCTCCGATACCTGTGCTCCTTCCATATGAACCAGTGACCCTCCTGCTTCTTGAGCATTCAGGCCCATGACAGGATACACAAGAGCTCAGGAGGACAAGATGCACAAATCAGCATGGATACGAACTGGATCTTGCCTCTGCAATGCAAGGAATGTCACAGTATGCAGTGTCAAGACTTCAAAGTTCTGCTGCACATGATCTTCAAGAGAATTTGTTCCAGGTGCTGTTCAGATCCACTGGGTGCAATGAGGAAGACACTACTGCATTGTCTCAACATCATGAGAGGACTACTGTGGACTACAATGCCATGACTCAAAGTGCTTCAGCTTGGAGACAGGAGCAAGTCTTGATGCAACCATTCTTGATCTGACAGGCACTCTCTCTTCTGCTGTTCAATACAACTCTTCTCACCACTATATGAAACATTACATTGAGTGCATTGTGTGAAGAGGAAAGCAAGATATAAGCAAGCAATGGGTAATAGTGACAAGAGCAACAAGTAACATATGCTCACTGTTAGGTTATGTCTCTTATTGGCCATATGACTTCATTAGGGGGTTTCAGTTTTCTCTGAGTTTTCAAAACTCCAAGTTTTCAAAACTCCGAGTTTTCATGGTTTTTTTGGATTTTGAAAGCTCACTGCTTAAGTAAGCTCTGCCAGGAAAGAAAAGCTCAGAAGTTTTGAAAACCCCTACTTATTTTTGCCATGAGCCTGGGTTTCTGAATATTTGAGTTTTCAGCAGGAGTTTTTGTCATGTGCTGAT